TGCCAGTTTAAATTATGTATTTTTATATTTATATGATATTCATTTTTATTTTTATTTTTTGCATTATTGAGTTTTAATTAATTAAACAAAAGAAGTACATTACACAATAAATTATGTGAAATGTACTGAAAATTGAAACATAATTTTCAAATAATGATAATATTCAAAAGTCAGTGACAAAAAAAGAGTTCATGAAGAATTTTGTGTTCAAACATCAAAATTATATTAATCTTTCACTAGGTTAATCTTGTTTGCATGAAATCTTTTTACTTTTTTTTTTTTTAATATATTTTGTTAAGTACTTCAACATACAACATTTAAGCTTGTGAAACCTTTCAACTTTGCACGTTTAACAAGCTTAAAATTGTAAGCAAGTTGTTCGCGTATGCAATTTGTTCATTCACGAACATGCTCGGTTCGACTGTTTGTTCGAAATCTAATTAAAAAAATAAACAAGTTGTTCGGGAATTGGCTTGCCTTGTTTAATAAATGAGTTCGATTAGTTGTTTGAGCTCAAATTGTTTAAGTAAATGAACAAGCCAAGATCGAGCCGAACCGAGTTATTTTCGTGAATAGCTCAGTTCGAATAACTCTCTAATCGGTACATGGTGTAAACCCCATTGTTAATATTAAATTCACATTAATGACTAGTAAGGATATTTTTAGTAATTCAAATGTTAATGAAACATACTTTTAACATAGTTATAGATATAGATTTTGGATAACTGAATTATTTGGTTGTCTCAGTTTTTTTCCAGTCATCCCTTAAACAACTATAATATATAAACAAGAAAACATATGTACATCCTCTTAAGATAGAGATGGCTGTAATAGTCATAATATTTGCTTACCGCATAGAAAATGGCCATTAATCCAATCTTTGTTTCAATTCTCAAAGCTGCCATGTCTCTTTCTGCAACCAGAGTCACCAATGAAGATTGCATTGTTACAAAAAGGCAGTAGAAAGCAACTATAATCATTTCTGCAGGATACATCTTCAATATTGAGGCCTGCAAG